TCAATCATAGAAGTCTTAGGCTCCTTGTAAGAAGAACAAGGAAGTTTAATTTTTGTTTTTGTCCAAGTTCTTCTTGATGTAATCTTGGTTCCAATACAAAATAGTGCTGATGATTTATTAATATATTGGATATTTTACCATCTCAAAAAAATATTACATTGTTCGGGATGTGAAAGGAAAAGAAAAATGTTTATTAGTTCAAAAGAATTTGAGCACCCAAAACGTTAGGCCATTGGTGGAGTAACCCAAGACCTTTTCTTGAAAAGGTAAGGTAAATTAAAAATCCAGCACTAAGAATGTGTTGTTGTAACCTTTCATAATCAGTCGTGGACCTTGGCATAACCCACTTCAACCCAATCATATTCAAGAAAAGCAGCCACAGTTAAGCAGTCACTTGACAATGCAAAAACAACTGACTAGTACTTTCTGCTTGTATCCCGCAGAGAAAACATCTGATGGTTAAACTGATACCTCTCTTTTGCAAGTTTTCAAGTGTGTGGCAAGCTTCATTGCTCACTATCCATGTGAAACAAGCCACCTTAATTTGAGTAACCCGAGACCTTGATAAACCCTCTTTGGAAGACCTTATAAAATCCATATGGGACAACACGTTCTCTTGCGCGTGTCACCTGATTTTGAGTCCACACATAAACTTAATTTACAAGTGAAATGGACTTGCCAAAGGTTGGCTCTGATACCATATGAAGAATCTGAGCATCTAACCCAAAACCTTAAAAGGCAATGAGTTGAATAGCCCAAAACCTATATAAACTCCTCTAGAAGCCTTTACACAACCCATGTGGGAGAAGTATATAACTCAACCAAATTGGTGCATTTGGAATAGGTATACTATACATGTAGGTCACCCTCCCCTTCTCTTATTTCCGTAAGAGTAGAATTCACTCATTTTTCTGAGTAACACTAAATTATAGATGAAATATTGGTCCCTCTTGGCTTCACTAGCCCCCTCTCCCTCGCAGTACCCTCATATATGAAACATTAACGACCTGACAATGATTAAAATTTAGGCACTGGGATTAGGCATCTGTTTAATACTGAAGTTTCCAGCTTAGTAGAAAATTGCTATTTGCTAATGCTTTCAACAAATAATTTTTCTCAAGTGCAAAAGTATTGAAAAGTCGGAAACTGCCTCTCTACCTTCACAAGGTAGCGGTAAGGTCTGCGTACACACTACCTTCCCCAGACCCCACTTGTGGGATTACACTGGGTCTGTCGTTGTTGTTGTTGTTGCAAAAGTATTGAAAAGCTAGACCTGTAGGAGAGTCTCAAAGTCTTAAAGCAGAAATGAGCTAAGATGTTCAAGGATAGACAAGAAATCAATACACTCCCAAAATATCAACCAGGTAAAATGACCACATCCATAAATATGATACCCATTATTCATAGGTAGAGAAGGAATTGTACTCGGTAATTGATGCGTCATCTTAACCTGTTCTGCAAGCAACCTGTTGAATTCCATTATTTGCTCTTTCACCATCAGTTTCAGGTGATACGCCTGGAAAAATTCTTGATTTTCTTCTTCCAGTTTCAGCCAAACTGCAAGCCATGAGATGATTGTAATGATAGAGTAAGAAATGATCACATAACCTGTGAAATTGGTAAATCCACACGTGCAACACTGCTAAATGATGACAGCAACTTTATATAACTATCAGATTGCAGAACCACTAACCTAACTTCAGCTATTTTTCAATGGTTGAAGACACCAAGATGGAGGAAAACTGTGATCCTTGAAATTTAGATAACATACCAAGTTCCGTAAATCCTGGCTCTATCTTGTCCTGAATGAAGAGAGTTTCCAGAACTTCTTCTGACTCATGTAATGCCGAAGACACTGCTCTATTCGATTTTGCACCTGAAATTAGCTTAAACATTCAATAAATATTTTCCCCTGCAGTTGTGCAGCTATCATGATTATTCATTCGGGAACACCGTCAATCATCATAATCTTACTTAGACAAGCCGATTTAAGATGACAATGAGAAAAATTCAGTTCAGTAACAACTAACTTATCATTTCAATCAAAGTTTTCCTCAGTGTCACACCAATCTCTATGGTTGAAATAATGTTACTTGTATTTCATCCAGTCAAAGCCCAAGAGCAACAAGAATTCAAACAAACAAGCAGATTGAAGGAAAAGGTTGCCTTGGGAAAAAGAAGAAAAAGAAATATTTGTAAAACAGTCAAATTAAGTTTTCTGGGCAGCTAAGGAGTACTCTGGCATCAAATAATAAGTAGTTCACAACAACTTAGTCCCTAATAATTGACAATTGGGAGATATAGGTTTTTTTTTGGGGGGGGAATGAACTGGGCTCAAATAGATCAGAATGGATACTTAAACAGAATCGCATGAAAAGCTCTTCTTTTTTTCCTTTTTTCTATAAAAGAACTGTATGAAGATATCATAATAGGTAAAAAAGATCAAAAGCATACCATTTGTATATCTTCAGAAGAGACTATTCTTCCATCTCCACTGGACATTTTTGCGGCTTCAAACCAGAAATTACTGCAATACAGGATTTATGGAATTTGTCAGCAGTAGTCTACACCGTAGAGCTTCTGTGAATCATCGCTTAGTATATCTCAAAAGGTAGTCAATGGCACCTATTATTAAACTTTGGAAAGAACAGACTCCGAATCAGCATGTAATGTTTCAATAGGCATGGAGAGAGTTGGAAGAGAAGAACTGGGAGCAGAATACACCAATGCAGTCAAAAGGTCATCGGCGAGAGGAACGGTGTGTGGCTATATTTGAAATAAAAACATAACGAGTTCAAGTGATGAAAAAGATTCTTCAGGCCATGTTCCTGATGGAAACAGGGCTTTGAGAACTCTGCTGTCAGAACCAATAGAATATACAGCACTCCACCTTACACGAGACTTATAATGTGTGTTATAATTTCTCTTTACTTTTACTACTCAATTCAGGACTGCATAAAAGCCCAGTAATCTCACAGTTTTAATCGTGTGAAGCATAATGAAACGTTAGACTATTGTGCCCGGAGGTTAATTAAAAGCATAACTTACACGCCATGCAAAAACAGACTTGCAGAAGTTGCAAAAGCAAGAAATAGAGCTATATTTTGCTATTTTAAGCCAAGAACTTCTCAAAACTCCAAAACAGGGAAAAGATCCATTCTAAGGTGGAAGATTTGTAATGTCACTCATTCCCTCGTTTACCCTCTCTAGGGACAACATGTTTATGATGATTTTCAGCTCTATGTCTTACTTATTCCTCAGATCAATGTTGGAAACAACATATAAAAATAGTAGGCCTATGAGCTGCTAACTGTAGGAATCTTGAGAAAAAATGACTTGAAGAGGATGCCAAAAGGAAAAAATCACTTAGGTTAAGAAAATCGACAAAATAATGTTCAGAGTGTCCAGACCTTAGCGAGTTCCACCCACTCTTGGTCAAAACCTCCATGGCAGAGATAGAATGGAACTACAGCGTCATTGATGTGGGAAATATGAACCCAAAAGGATGTTAGCAGACATTGGTTGAAGAAAATTTCAGAAGCGCACTTGAAGTGGATGAACTAGAAAGAAAAGAAAACAAATGAACCAATTCTTTATGAACTATAAACAGATCTTCCCTTACTCACCAATCAAGAGTTTTTCTTTGTTCCTCTCAGATATTGTAGTAAGGCCCTTAATCTAGGATTTGAAGACAGCTTTTTGATTTCATATCCTTCAAGATATGATTTTTGTTAAAGTATGTCCATGCAAGTGGCTGCCATTGTATTTAGACCATGACCCTGTTATAAGCCCATATTACTTCATTAAACATACAAGGCAATGACCTTACTGAGGAAACACTAGAAGATCCAATGTAAAATCAGTTTATAGAACTATCCCCACCAAAATCAAGCAACGCACCTAGAGCACTCAAAATTGCTCATTGATTGGGTGTAGACCATCTCAATCTGAAGCAAAGCAAAGCAAAATGAAACAGCACTACTAAATATTCAAGACAATCAAAACATAAATCAAATCACTAGAGTAGCAAAGATCCTAACTCCGAGTATGCTATGCCATCATATTTTTCTTCATATACCCTGATTACACATGAAGAGAGGCATTGGAAATAATAGTAACTAATACTAGTGTGAGAATAGTTGTAGGAGATACAAAAGAGTTTCTCATAATCGTGGGTTTACACAAGGGATCGGTGTTGACCCGTACTTATTTACCCTAGTTATGGATGAACTAACTAACAAAATACAAGATGCGGTCCCATGAGGTATGTTATTTGCTGATGATATTGTGCTAATTGATGAAAACGAGGGTATCAACCAAAGGATTGAACTATGGAGAAGCACTCTAGAGAGTAAGGATTTTAGGATAAGTAGAAGTAAGATTAAACATATGCACTCGAAATTTAGACAACATTAGAACAGTTAATTGAGGTGAAATTAGATGGGATTGTAGTGCCTAAATGCAAACAATCCAGATATATAGGCTTGTTGTTCCGAGAGAATGGAATGATAGATAAAAATGTTACACATAGAACCATAAAGACTAATACTTTCTTGTATATGAGCTCATAATCTTTGGCCAAGAAACCACAGGGAGAAAGTAGCAGCTTATGATTATGAAATCAGCAATAAAGACAATTCTTTCTTACATTTGAGCTGTAAGCAACCAAACAGAGAGCACAGCATTTTAGGGTCACAAAAAAAACTAATCTTTTTTTATATTTGAGCTGACAGTAGAAACCAAACGGATTAGACTTGTACAACCAGCCATAAATACTAATTGTTTCTAACATTTGGGCTCTTAATCTTGAGCTAAGAGAGCAAACGGAAAGTGCAGCAACCTTAGGATTGTAAGATCAGCGACAATACTAAACCTTTCTTAGGAAAGCGCTCAAAGAGTCGAACAACTCGAAGGGATAACCAAAGCTAAACTCCACAGTCGGTCCACCCAGTTACAATAACAACTATTCCTAATACTAAACTAGTCGGGGTCGGCGAGAACTAAGAAAAGCTCCAAGAAACAAAAACCCAGAAAACTTATAGCATTGAACTGGACATACAAACTGAAATCCGTTGCTAGTCAACCATAAGCTGAGTTGAAATTCAGAAATTATTTCTTACTTGATGAAGAAAAAAAGGAGTGATGTTGTTGATCCGATTGAAGTGGTTGCAGTTCCCCAGTATTGAGGAAAGTGTTGGATTGTGTTTATTCCTCTTGTAACTTCACTACTGAATTTTCCATCTTTTTCTTTTCCTTTTCTGATTAATTACTTTTTGAAAATATCTTCGTGAATTTAGAATAGGAAATAAATAACAAACGGTAAAGAGAATTTTTCCTTTGCTACCAAATTATAGAATAATTTTACTAACTTTTATGAATTTGTTGGTCGAGAATATATATTACAGACATACATTTGTTTCTTTACTACTCCACTATATAAACTATTTTACCAAATTTATTGTGATTGCTACTATTGGAGAAAAAATTAGCATAGCAATTGCAATGAAATAGTTCATTAGTAACATCTCAGTTTAGTTTGTATATATATTTAAAAAAATTGCACAACCAAATCACTTAAAGATAATTACAAGTAATGATCTATGGATTAGTAACTTAAATTAGGCATATTACTTGGTACAACATGCTCAAATATAATAGTAGTATAAAAATTCTTTACCTTGTCCTTATTTTCATATTAGTAATAGATATTTGATGGGATTAGAAATCTATTATTTACACTTAAAATCGGATAACAATTAAATTTGTAAGTAATTTTAAGAATATATGATTTTACTTGGCACAAACTGAAAAATATGAGGATTAAAGTTAAAAATTAACTATAAAGCAAAGCAAACCAACGCTACCTTGGCCCTCGAGCTAGGTCGCCCTCGAACCAACTGAGCATATTATTGAAAAGCAAGAACTGGACAACTGAATAAGAATGCTTAAGAAAATATTATAAACTGCTTTGATATGCGTTAATTCCCTTTTATAAAATTATTGGAACCCCCTTTATATAGTAGAGAAGTTCCACATATAATACAATTCTAAATATAGAAGGAAATCTCCTGATTGGCTAATCAACCGGTCTTATCTTGATACATGCCGAGATCTCCGCCACAATTCTCGTCCGGTCACGGATTTTTTGACTTTATGTTATTCGACTTAGCATGCTTATTTCGATCTCGAGATCTCTATCCTTCTTGGTCTCGACCTTAGTTGGTCTCGATCTCGATCCCTGAATCACGAGCTATGCAATATCTATTCATGTAACGATCAAACATAACTTGGGATCGAACCTCGGTTTGTCACTCCGGTCTCGATTAACCATACGAAATCGGGCAACCCCGATTTTTACTGTATCAGATAATCTCCTCGTTTTTTGGAGAGTAATGACAAGAAACGATTTGGGCCTTCGGCCATGAAATAATCATCGTGACATAAGCATCACAAGTGATTGAAACATGTTGTCGGTACAGTTTTCCAAGTATTTAATGTGTGTCAGTCGACGGTCGGCCACTACCAGTTTTGAACCGTCGTTGTGAAACTGATAAATAGCCCTCTTTCTTCATTATTTCAAACTTTCACTTTCAAATCTTTTCCATTCCAATCCCTATAGTTCTTTATCTTATTCAAAGCTTCTTATCTTCACGTCTTTGCGTTTTTTTGCTTGTTCTTCCTAAAACACCGAATATTTCAGTCTCCATTCTTTTTTGCCCACAAAAACTAAATGGCCAAAATATCTAAAATTGTTCCGCAGAAAGAGACTGCTTCCTCATCTCGGTCCGCCGGCGAGAAACCAGTGGTAGAGCCACGCCCTGAAGAACTTATTCCCGGGGTGTGTGTTATTAATTCCGACTTTAAGGTCTAGAAACCTTCATCGGTCATTGGTCGATGCGAGTCGATATCGAGATATATGTGCTCAATACCCAAAAACTTCCTTGACCAGGTGAAAAAAGATTGCAACTGGGGAGACAAATAGGTTGTGATACCGGCACCAGAAGAAGCGATTACCACCCACGTGGAAGGGTCCCTAAGTGTTTATAATTATCCTTTCACGCTGGGTCCCCTCGATCCAGTCATCGTAGACTTCTGCAAGAAATATTAGGTGACCCTCAGCCAAATTTACCCCTCTTTCTAGAGGATCGTGATACTGCTCTGTTTCTTCGTGAGAAAAATCGACGGGCTTCCTTTCACCCTTGATGACCTCATAAGATTATATAGTCCTCGACTTTATCAAGGTGGGTTGATAAAGCTTCAACGTCGGGCTACCAAGTCGCTCTTCTTGAGTATATATGAAGACAAAGATCGGGGATGGATGGGTCGGTTCGTTCGAGTGAAGACCACGGACCTAATCCCGGCTGAGAGCATGCATTTCCTGAGAAATGGAATATAAAATGTAAGTATGATTCCGTCTTTAATTTATGTTCGTTGTTTTTACTTCTTCTTCCTTTCTTATCAGTGTTTTTATCGATCCAGTCGTTGCTTGGATGTAGGGTGCAATTCCCCACCTCGAGAACTGGGTTAGGAGCCTGGTCTCGACGTCAACACATATCGAGCGCACATGGCATGATTTGTCAAAGGGTCGGTGGGAGGCTTGTACTCATTGTAAGCCTTCTTCCTGACTTACCAATTTGTCTATCGTTCAAACATTTTTTCAAAGATGAGTTTACTTACTTTCTCCTTTTGTAAGTCTCAGAAAGGACGCAACTATGAGACCCCCGTCCGGTGATGAAGAAGTTTCACCACCTATCTCGAAACCTGCAAAGGAGAATAAGAGAAAAAGGGCCTTGAACTCTGTGGGTCAAGAACCGAAGAAAAGAACAGCATGTAAACCCAAGGGGAACATAATCCCACTGACTACGGAGTCAGTCCAAAGGCTAAGGGAAGAAGAAGAAGAAGAAGAAGAAGATGTTGATGATGATTCTGGGCCGGTGGCCCGTGCGCGAGCTAGCACCAAGATTTAGAGAACTTCGGAATCGGTGGGAGTTAATATTGCTACGTCTAGGCTCGATGAGGTCGAGGAGGAGACTTCGGCCCAAGTCCCCGAGCCAAGAGGAACCAAAGATTCCTTGTCTCGGGGCAAAGAGACCATTGAAGAGGTGGTGGACGCTGGTGCAGAAACCGGGCTCGAGGCTCCCCAAGACGGAAGTGGCGCCCCAAAAGACCCACTTGGGGAAATAGAGATAGGGGATTCCCCCTCGTTTCCTTTATTTTTCGAGTCGATGATATGCGACGCTCAGGCCGTAGAGACTTGTTACGGGGAAGGAGCCCACGCAGAGGAAGATCCTTTCCGTGGTTATTTTATTGGGGTAGAAGGCGTCACCGGTCTGAGTGACTTAGAGGTTCCGAATAAGAGTTTGGGCGAGGCTTACTCCAGTTTTAAACTGACCAATCAGTTTTCGGCCCCTAGTACTGATCCTGGGTGCAAGCGAACAATCATTATCACGGTCCCGGAGGATGCCCGGGTTCTTGCTTCCCCCGTAGGGGTGGCTATCTACCTTCGACGTTTGGTCACGGAAGAAGACCAAGCCTAGATGGACGAGGTGGGAGCGCCTTGTCTTTTTATCGAAGCTCAACAAGCCCTGAACCGGGTAAGTTCATATTTTCTTTGTCAATTTTTAGACTTGTACTTTTTTCCCATTATGTAATTCCTTATTTCTATTTTTGTAGGTTTTTGTGCTTCATTGCGAGGCTTTCTTCTGATCCCGAGGGGAGCTAAGCCGGTACAAAGCCGAAATCCGAGGGCTTACTGAGGAGAGAGATGCCTTCAAGCTTCTCAGTGAACAGATATAAGGGGAAGCAAAAGGACTTCGGGCTGAGCTAGAAGCAGCTCAGAAAGAACAAGCTGATTTGGCCGAGCAAGTAAAAAAAATCTTTGAAGTTAATGACACTGACTCGGGCGCGGTGGCTAACAGTTCGGTCCCACAGGTCTAGCAAAAGTTTGATGTGATCGGACAGCTTCATGAGGAAGTGGTGCAGTGAAAGCGGAGGCCGATGCATAGAAGAAGAACATGGACTGTCTTGCCTCAAAAAATGAGGTTGCCCGAGCTCAACTGGCCTCGGCTGAGACCCAACTCTGAAGCCTGAAAGAGAAAGCCTTGGTACAAGCCAAGAAAATTGAGGAGTTCCAGTCTTGGTTGGGTTCAGCAACTTCCAATCGAGAGAGGCTGGTCACAGAACTTGCAGCGGCCAAATCGGAGGTCGAAACGGTCAAGGCTAATGCTGATGCAATGGTGGTCGTCTACTGGTCCGACACTGAAGTTGCTGAGGTTCGAGAAAAGGAGGTTGCCGAAGCTGCTCAGGCTCGAGCGAACTGGGTTGCCGAGCATGCCAAATGCCAGTCTCTAAGGGAAACTCTCGAAGAGATCCATGCTCATGGCTTTGATCTTACAGCAGAGATCGAGAATGCTAAAGAGCTTGAAGCTGAAGCGAGAGTATTGGCCTTTCCTGATGATGATGATTCTGGGAGTATGAGCGGATTTGAAAGAGGAGAAGGCCTCGATGTTGCTCCCAGAGAAGACTAAGTCCTTTAGGATTAGTATTTTTTGTGTTTCTTTTAAGACCATTTCAGTCTTTTGTAGAGAAATTTGATCGGGCCATGCTGCCCTTGTAAATGGTTTATATATATATATAT